AACATAGCACTTATGGTTAGTCTCACCGCTGAAACTACATATTTGGAGCAAATGTGAAGGCTGCAAGCGAGGATGCAAAAAAAATTTAGTGTTAACGGAGAACGACCTCGGACGAGGTTCAACTGCACATTGCGCCAAGAACAACGAGGGAGTAGTATTTAGCCAATGGAAAAGGAGGAGGTCGTAACCTCAAGTACCATTCACAAAATTAGAAGCTGCCAAGGCATGGCTAAGTGGCAAAGGAGGACAGACTTTCAACTGCCACTGCGACTACGCACCACAGGCGATTGATGGCGCATCCTAGAGCGAGTCACTGAAACGCTTCATGTTCCAGGAGCACAATCGAAAAAATCCTCTCAGAGAGACTTCCACCTTTAAGAACAAAAGTGGAGGAAGGTGCAGCGATTCGGAAGATGACCTGTACCTGTGGTGTACCAATAGAAACCTGTGGCAGGAGAAAGATTTTCCTTCCGAAATAATCTAGCGATGTCATTAGTACTGATCTATATTGATTTCAATGAACACTCACGTTTCAAGAGAATCGCTTAAGAAAACAGCTGAGGAAAAAAACGGAACAACGGGACTATGTTTCGGAAAAAGAATTTTTGGGAAAAAACATCCGGTATTTTTTGAAAGCGCTAATCTTCTAGTTTCTAATTAGCTTTAAACATCTGCAAAAAGTTGATGAAGAAAGTTATGAATGTTTGAATGTCGAAAACTCGCGTGTGCACAAAAAACGGAACAACGGGACGATTTTTTGAAATATTGAACATCCGCAACATTTCAAATACTTTTCAGAAGAAAACTATTTGTGGTTTTGAAATTTTTGTGTCCCATCTCATGAGACCGCTTTGAAAGAAGGTATAACTTTTTGAATGGCGAGATTTGTATCGTCGTAACGCTGCAAGGTTCAGTTATTCATTTTATAAAAAAGGCAGATTCAAGTTCGAAAAAATCTTGGTTGGTTTCTGAAAGTAGAAATCTCTGCGATTACTACCACGCCTCGGTTAATGCAAAATTTGGTGAATACTTCTATTTGTATGTAAAATTCCATGGTGCCTTGATCCCCACCCTCTGAGCGAGACAAAGCGCTTGGACATCCCACTGTCCCCCACCACTCGGTGGGGACAGTGGTAATCAGGGTGAATATCGGTTGAGGAGATACTCGACAGGAGGGGTCGTATTTGTCAGGAGTGGGTCATGGGGGTCGTACTCATTGGGGTCAGTAACGTCAGAGAGAGAGAGAGGGTGTAGCGCAGCAGAAAACAAGGATATGTGAGAAAACATGAGATAAAATATTCTTTGCAGGTCCAGTCGCTCCTTTACCTTTATGAGAAGGACGTATTTGAAAGCAGTACAAGGAATGAAAGTGCATCTCCGCAATGTGTACACGTGCTGTAGAGGCACCTCCTTTATCTAGGCCCGCTCTCTCGCCCTTAATACCTCGAAAATGAGGCAGTTGTTAGGGAGCTGTCGCAAACCGGCAAGAGTTCTGGAAAGACCATGGGCGAATGAAGCTGTTCCTTAGGTTACAGGAGTTACGAAATGTGTTTACTACAATACAGTTTCTGTCAACAGGTCATCATCATATGTGTAACACCTTTCAATAGATTCTACAACTTGAGTGGAGGTCGGATGCATGGCCTATACTGAGACGAGATCGGACGATGACGATTGCCCTTTTCTTGTCGCTTACGTTGGGAGAATTTATTCTAGACACATTTCGAGCGTTGCCAACGAATTACACTTGCAATGGTGAAGAAGGGAGCGGCTTTTTGAGCGGCCGAGAATCATCCTCGATAGATCCTCGACGCAAATATCTCCTCAACTAAAATGTAGAAGGAAGCTAAACATACTGTTAGAAAGCGCAAACCTTCCGCTTTCCAAAACTGTCTTCGCTTTTCAAGATCTTGCGAAATTAGAGAGATATTGCCTTTTAAGTGGCAAAAACTCGCTTGAAAAATTCCGCATCCTCGACGCTCCCTCGACAAAATTTGAGAGACCCTATCTCTTCGAGTGTAAAGCTTTTAGATCAATTTCAATATTGCCCGGTAGTAGCAAATCCAGCTCTATCTAACCCTACCACATACTGCTCCAAAGGTTATGAAATGGGGGAATGGAACCTTTTCATCGAGAGTGTAGATTTCGACGGTTTCGAGCGGGGTTTCGGCAAATCTGACCCACGGATAAACCGCGCTGCAACTGAATGCTTTGCTGTACATTGATGGAACTCGCTTATTCACATCAAATCAAAGTTAGAGGGGTCGTATCAAGACCCCGATCTGAGGGGGGTCGTACTGATGTGACCACGTCCTCGACACGATTTTCACCCTGGTGGTAAGTCTAAGCGCCCGGCCGGTACGGCCCATACATAGACGATGGGCATAAAAATATCTGAAAGGACACTAGCTCACAGGGGACGGGGTGGGGTCGTACTGACAACCTCCGAAAGGGTGGGGGTCGTAAATATGTCGAAGTCTGCGTAACGCACGGTTCACCCTGCCCAGAACCACGTCTTAGCCTTCAGGGGCGCTAAATGAGAGTGAACCTCGGTTTTCTAGTCCACGTGAGACTGAGATGCCCTGAGCATACCAAGCTGTTCCAAAAAAGCGTCCCATACCCTGAACGACCTACATTGATAGAAAATGAGTCTGCCTTTCGAGTAGGTATACACCCCCACCTCGACGTCCTGCCCTATCATATAATCCTCTTTTAAGGTAATTTCTCTCACACGATCGCTTTTCGGGCAATCGTCTAAACTTTTTAGTGACCGCTCATAGAGAAAATAGCATCACGATTAGCAGATCTTGTTCCAGCATCACAACGAATATGATATCTTTTCTTTCCATCGTCTAAAGTAGAACAAAATCAGACCTGAAAAAGGAACACCGGTGCAGCTTTTGGGGTGGTGGTTTGGTTATGAAGAATTCGCAGTATAAATGAAATATCACTGTAAAAATGGCCAATGTCCGAGCTTCACAAAACGAGACGTAAAGCTAATCGGAATCAGAAATTAATAAGGGTGAATAAAATAAAACAATACAAATCAAAACAAAAGTCGTCGGGAAACTCACTTCGTTCGGTACGCCTTCATACACGGACGCACTGAAATGGTAGATTGGAAGGCCTCGCACAAAGGCTTCTTGAACAAGTGGTGGATTTGTCTCTCTCGAAGAATTCATCATAACGACCGATTGAGATGACGATAGCCACCATTCAACGTATGATGTGTTACCAGCCTCGAGTAACTGAACAAAAGAATTCCCAATGAAATATTGGTACATTCCCTCAGAGACCACGAGTGGTACTGCCTACGTATTTTTCGCCGTGCCCGAAGGAAGACACACGTCGTTTCACGGCATGTCACAATCGCTTTCACAATCGCTTCGTAATAGGAAAATTAAAGGATTTTTCGATACATTTCATTTATCAGTGGGTACCCGAATTGATAATTGTCAAAGGAATGAATGTATAAAAGTATGAAAATCAAATATAAGGTACGATAGAAGTACAACATAGTTAACAACATTTACAAGATCAGTCCGATCGTCTCAATGCTGGTCTAGGTTTGTCTGTATGGAGAAACAGACTGTGTCACGGTAGGTAGCCCACCTTTAGATTGCGTGGTGAACTCTCTGACTTCACAGTTCAGTAGGGTTGCTGAAATCAAGTCGGCTAGTCAAAATTGCTTCGACCCTTATCAGGCTCTGAAAAAGGTGATCCTGCCGAAACGTTGGCTCACTAAGGGCCTTTCACCAATCTCGTGAGGAGTTTCAAAGACGATATCAACTGCAACATGCAGAGGCTCATTCGAACCCATACGCGGGAGGCTGGGGGGGGGGGGGGGTTGCGATAGCATCATTTAAAGGACGAATTCACGATGAAAAAGCAACCCATTTCAAATTAACTAGGGATGGTGAGTGGTACACGAAAGAAGGAAAAACCATGAGAAACGGCCCAGAACCCGAGAAATGGGACCCCTTCCTTGCCCGTTGATTTGCGCATTGATGCGACTCTCATCGCTGTGCCCTCTTCAACACTACGCTCTCTCTGCTATCTAATCACTCGCCACGTATAGACCTGCGGCGAGTGATTAGATGGTCGGTGGGCGTACCCCGCCAACCGCGCCAAGAGTGAGCCATGCTAGGTCGCCGAGGTCAAATCTTTCGGTGAGTCCGCACCCTCAGGAGGTCCGCCGGTCTCTCAACTAGGTGAATTACTCGACTTTCTTCGACCTCCATTCTTATCATGAATTCCTCCGCTAATACAAAGAAATATTATCACTCTCAACTTAATATTACACACTACAATATCACACTAATACTTAATGATTATTACTAAAGACGGTTCAGCTCATCACAAACTCACCACTAGGCCAAAGGAAGTGTTCGGCTCTTGAACAAGAATTTTCGCTAGAAGAGAATCCAATGAGATGAGCACATTTTCCGTGGGTAAGTCTTCAGCT